CTCAGCCCGGCCTGTGCCCTCTCACAGTCCGGGAGCTGATGGCTTTAGTTAGACATCCTTAGCGCTGCTGCGGAGGCAAGAGAGGCTCCTGCCACTCCGCTGCGCTTGCCAGCCATGAGCCAGGCTTCTGGCTGAGCAGTGCTCCCCCTGTGGGAGCGCACTGACCACTAGGGGGCAGCTCCTTCATTGAGCATCTGACCCCTGGTGGTCAGTACGTATCATAGCAACCAGTTGTTCTGCTGTTTGGTCAATTTGCATATTAGACTTTTATTATATAGGATAGATCAGGGACTGAGGTCTAGAGGGGACACCAGAGTGCCACAACCAGGAGGCTACAGAGCAAGAACAAAAGTCTGACCCCTGCATCCCTCCACTGCAAATCCATTAGAGACGATCTCCATGGACCATCTCTGATGGGCCCGCTTTCTGCCTTATATTTCTACCCGCTGGCTGATTTCTAAGCCCCTCTCAAACACCTTTATAACTCTGTGTCAAAGCAGTAACGATGGGACTTCCTTTGGGCAAGTCACTTCAGTTTCCTCCTTCTGAAAATGGGGCTAAGGAAAAGCTGCAGGGACGAGGAGAAGGAATTCTGAAAGCAGTTTTTTTTGGGCAGAGGAGAGAGTATCTGGGTAGGAAAGTGCCTGTTCACTCCACAGCCCCCACCTGGCTCCTGCCCACCACTCGTAGCCACGTGGGCCCAGCCCACAGCTATTGATTTTAAAAGAGAAGCTGGGGAACAAAAAAAAAAGGAGCTGGAAATTTGGATTTTGATGTGAAGTCTCCTGATTTTTAAATGTTGGCAATAAATTCATAGAAAGAAACAACAAAACAAAGCAAAACACCATGGAGGTCAAACTGAACAGGTCTGTGGGTTGGATTTGGCCACTGGCTGCCAGTTTGGGACCCTTCCCCGTCCAGGTTGCTGCAAACACCTACGCAGGAGAGATCATTGTGGGTGGTGTCAGCTGGATCCGGTTTCTGTGTTCTCGCTGCCTACAGGGCCGGTGGGGTGTGCCCAGGACCTCTGGGCCATAGTGGTTCAGCTCCCATCAGCCCCTCCTCAGGAAAGGCTGAGTACTAATGGTGAGGCAGCAGGCAGGGCCTGTTGAGCAACGAGCCTTGTGACAAGGGCTTACGTCACCTGAGCAGGCACACAGCCTCCCTGAGGGACACCTGGGGTGGCACTGAGGTGCACCTGGCACTGATTTTACTTTCAGGCCAGAATGGGGAATCCAGGGCAGGGCAGGGTGGAAAGCAAAAGGCTCCGTATTTGGAGAGTACAGGTCCATCCCAGAGGCCAGAAGGGCAAGACCTGATGGGGGCCAGTCCCTGGGGTCTGGGTTGCCTCTTGACTAACTGTGTGACCCTATGTCAGCCTTCTCTGGGCCTCAATTTTTCTACTCAGAAAATGGGGTTCACATCGCCAGACATGTTATTACTTCTTACTAACCCAAAGGGGAAGGTCAGGCTGGAAGGACTTTAATTCTTCCCTCCCCTTTAATGTGGCCTTGAGCAGACAACTTAGCTCTGCTGGGCCTCAGTTTCTTCATTTGTAAAGTGGATTCGATAATAGGACCTGATTCCTGTAAGTAATCAGGAGGATTAAATGAGTTAATACATGCAAAGGGCTTGAAAGGTGGTTCAGAGAGGGTGGAAGATTGACTTGAGGATACACAGGAAATGCTCCAGTTAGCTTTAGATGACCCCCAACCCCATCTCATCGAATCTCCCCAGAACCCCGAGAGTTAGGAGGGGAGTGCTGTGGCTCAGAGAGGGGAGCCATCTTACCTAGGGTCACACAGCCCAGCTAATGAGGGACCTCACCTTCATCCATTGAGCAACTTCTGTGTGCTGGAAGGCACTGGGGAACTACAGTGAACACAACAAAAATTCCTTTCCTGGTGGGGCAGACGTGAGGAGGAGAAGCAGGGGCAGAAAGCAAGGGGAGTGCTGTGGCTCAGAGAGGGGAGCCATCTTACCTAGGGTCACACAGCCCAGCTAATGAGGGACCTCACCTTCATCCATTGAGCAACTTCTGTGTGCTGGAAGGCACTGGGGGAACTACAGTGAACAAAACAAAAATTCCTTTCCTGGTGGGGCAGACATGAGGAGGAGAAGCAGGGGCAGAAAGCAGGATGGGTAGGTGTGAAATAATTTTGATAGTAATGAGAAAGGTAAAGGAAACAAAGCAGGAGGGTGTGAAAGGAGTGATTGAGAACCTGGAACTTTCAAAGGGGAGGTCAGGGAGGGCTTCCTGGAGGTGGTAACCTTTGCATTGAGCCTTGGGCAGAGCTGGGAAAAAAGTGTTCTTGGTCCAGAGGGTGACAGGAAATGTCTGGTAAATTCTGGGCTTGGAGTCCCAATATTCAGGGGACAGCCCTCACAGAGTGGGCAGTCTGGGTGGAGACTGAGGTAGACAAGACAACCAGGATAATGGTAGCTGGAGATAAGGGCTAGGAAGGAAGTTCTCTAGCAGGTGGAGCAGGGAGGGCCTCTTGGAGGCGGTGGGCTACAAGCTCAGTCCTGAGTGTCCTACAGGCATCTTAGAAGGCCTGGCTGGGTGGCCCTGGGGCCTTGGGTCCTTCCTTAGCAGTGGGAAGGCCCACAAAGCCAGCAGGCTGGGTCAGTGTTTCATCCCGTCCCTCCCTGCCCTCCACCCCCCAAGGGTGCCTGGAGATGTCATTTCTCCAGCTCTCCGGGGCAGAGGTCACCCCAGCTCAGCAGATAACGCTGAAAGTTGAGCAATGCCTGCTTGCCCGCCAGGGCCGGGGCTGGGGTCAGTGGGCCGGGGGTCAGCCCCAGGCAGGCTGGGAGCTCTTGCCTGGGCCTGAGTAACAGAGGGGTGGGCCCAAGGAGCTGCTCAAATGGCCTAGGAATGGGGCTGGAGAGGGCAAGGGGCTGCTTGAGCCCACTCACAGGGAGGGCCTCAAACGCATTTAAATAAATCCAGGAAGGGCCATGCGTTTTGCCCAGCTGTGACCCAGGGGCAGTAGAAGCCTCCTCCTGGCAGGGGGTCAAGCCAGGCCCACCCACAATGCATGGTAGGGACTTGGTGAATATGGGGGAAGTCCCTTCTCTCTGCTGCCTGGTCTCCAGGGGGCCTGGCTTGACCCCCTCCCCACCAGCCTCAGAAACAGGTTTAGTGGCCGTGGGTGGGCAAATAGGTCTTAGTGCACTCAGATAAGGGCTTTCCTTTTGAGACTAATGGGGGACATGAGGCCATGTGACCTCGGGTGTGTGAGGCCCCCTGGACCCTCTGAACCCTCTGGGAGAGGCCCTTCTTTCTGATATGCATCCCCAATGGACTTACACTAAGCCTCTTGGCCATCTGTGGTGGAGACAGTCATACAACTAATAACAGTAAGGACACCTTCATGGAACCTCCGAGAAGTGAAGTGACTTGCCCAAGGTCACACAGTGTGGCAGAGCCAAGTACTCTGTCCCTTTCCACCTTCCTGGGGCCCAGGTCAGGTTGGGGTGGGGCTGGAGAAGACCCAGGTGTGGCAGGTGAGGAGGCTGGGGTGGGGTGGGGGGTCGGGGATGGGGGCAAGTTTAGGGGCAGAGCCGCGTCCGAAGGGGAGGGGAGATGCTCACCTCTCCAGGAGGCAGAGCTCGGGGTTGAGGTCTCCAGGCTCCCGCCTGGGGAGTACCTTCTCTGTGGGGCGCCGGGGCTGGGGGCCCCTGACCCTGAA